CCCCCCGCACCCGCAACCCCCCCCCCCCACACACACACACACACACCCTCCCACACCCACACAAAGCTGATTAGAACGATTATGTAGTGTTATCCCTGTGGGTGTAGAAGAGTAAGGCGTCAATCCACATTTTATTTCAAATCGAAATGTCTGAGGCCCACTGAGAATAAATGTAAATTTTTATACCGTTTATCCTGATAAGGATCTTAATCTAGATTTGGTCTATTTCGTTTTACTTTCGATTTCTTTAAACTACAACTAAAACTTTAATGGCTGTCATGGTTTATTTGACAAAGGAGGTGTGAAATTTGTTCAAATTACCTTGTAAAGATGGCGTTTAGATACTTTCAAACGTTTCAAATCTGGCGGAAAGATTGCTACTGCTGATCAAATGCAAGAAAATCTTGGATTGAAGACCTCCCCATGTTTCACAAGTTGTTCAGACTGCTGGAAACAGGTTTCACTTTATTTCCGCTTCGTTTCACACATTGCCAGCAAGATAAATGTTGCACTAATTACGTCATCAACTAATTATCGACGTAATAAACATGTAATGTATCACGTGAAGAGAAGGTGATATTTCCCGCCATATCGCTGTAAAAGAGGCGTGATGGTTACAACTGGTCAACTGCGACCAAAGATCAAAAGTAAAACAAAGCCATAGAATAATGTAGATTACAAAGATTAGCTTGTTTACTAAATGTGAATATTCGAGAAATTAAAACAAATTGTCAGTGTAGCATACTTATTTTTATTTTAAGTTATGTAAAATTTAAAAGATCTAATTAGCCGAAATGAAATAAAATGGGGGTTTACTATCTTACCCTTCTGTTCCACCCGGCTGATCAAGATGGCCGTGGTCACTTTAAGTTCATTCCTACGTAATAATTATTGTTTTGTAGTAAGGGAAATTGGTTCTCTTTTCTTAAAATGGAATAGTTATTTTATTAACTTCATTAGAATAGACAGATTGTAAAAATCCAATATTTGACTGTTTTTATTGTAAGCAGACTTAAAACATTGGCTGACATTAAACCGATCGTGTTTGTGTAAATCGAACCGTCAAGTGAGAAAATCGTCTCATTCCTAAAAACTCATAAATCTACCGATAAATCTCGCTGCTTCTAGTCAAATCTCGCGGGACTTAATAACCGCCATTTTTATCTAATCTTGATCTGGAATCTTTTGCCCTCACAAATCATTGAGTATATTGGTTGGTTGATAGGCAAATACAACAACCTGTATGGTAGTCGACTTGTCTTTATAATACGACGACCTGTCGCTAAGACATTTTGTTTATATTGACGACATGTCACTAAAATTGAACAAATGCCCCCTGCAGTCATCTCAACAACCTGTATTAAGGCGTTTTATCTCGGTAACAGGGGCCGTTTCGGAAAAGGGACGTATGGGTAAAATGACTTGTCTCTATAATTAAACAGTAGCTGGGCATACATACGTATTAAATGGCGTATGGATCTATACTTTGGAACTTTAAGAAAGACGACATTGGGCCTTTAAGTACATATAAAACAGGTACATATCAATGCCACATGAGTGTATATAAGGCAATCAGAAAACTCGCATTGTCGTGGAATTTTGAATTAAATGCGACCAGTTCTATCATATGACAATATGTGACAATTATTTTTAGAAACTTGTAGAATAGGATCATCCGTCTTAAAGACAATGTCGAGATTAATTATATAAGCCATGTTGATTAGAATCGTGACCTATGACCCCGAGGTTATCTCTACGAAGGAATCATCGGTTTCTGAAATACAAGACCAGATTATCTCTATATCAAACACCAAGTAGTCCGAGTGACGATTGACAGACATTGTATGCCTATCATTTAAAAACACCTGACACCACTTCACCTTTAAGGCGTTCACAGAAGAGCCATATATGGTACATTTTAGGCATAAGACCAAGGCCCAGTATCTGCTATGACAACTACGCAACTGACAAGGAGTAAAGCTGGCCGGAAAAACCCAGGATCGAAACCGGGTTAGTGAGACGGTGCCTTAATCACTGATACTTCTAGTAGGTGTTTACGTCCCCTTCCACCTAGGGTGATATCGCAGACAAGTGTTTCCTAAGACACAACTCAATGACATCGACATTGTTGTCTAATTACACCGTAACTCTGCCACCGATCTTCTTGTATGACTTCACTTCAAACTTTAACTCATCATTCAGGATTAGCTAATCCTATTGGCTCAAACAAACAACTGAAGGGATTATAAGCCAATAAGAATGCTCGTAAAATACTTTACTGTCACTAGTGCTACTCGTGTTGTTAATGTGACCCTAAGCTGGATAATCTAGTCTCGATAAAAAGGGGTTTATGTATGAATAATTTATGTCTGGACATAAAAAATCCGTACATGGTTTTTACATGACAATGGCGATGTAGTGATCATTCATTCATTCGTTTGATAATTCGTTCTTTCATTCATTCATCCAATCGTATTATTATGGTTCCCCCGAACAGTCCATTTTATCCCTTCACTCTTATTCGTGTTCTTTAGAACTCATCCGTTAATACCAACAACTCGTTACCGTTACCGCATTCGGAACCCCGGTAATATCAACATTGGTGCAATATAGCCCGGTTGGTGCTGGTGTTCCGTTAAACAGCATTTCATTCATTCTTTTTAAATATCAACAACTCGTCCCTCTTTGCTTTCCTAGCCTCATTCAGAACTACAGTAAAGACACTGGGTTGTCGATTAGTTGCCCGGCGGAAGCCAAGAAGAATCTCGGTTTTTTTTTTATCAAGCCCGGTCAATGGTGTAGCCTAGTTGTTCGGATAGTACGATAGAGTCTACCCGCATACTAGTTAACACGTAAAAAGACCTTTGATATGGATGAAGTTGGATATACCGCTATCCGGGTAGCGATAGAAAACGCCCAAAAGAACCGTATTTTAGTCTCAGATAATCGAAACATTGTGTAGCCAAAACGTTAAACCCTCTTCTTCTCACCCCCTTATGATCATCCGCCCGTTCTTACGGTCAAAATAATTACGAACCAAAACAAAAACTCAGAGAAACTGTACTTTAAATCCTTCTGACTTCCCGATTTCTAAGGCAAAAAAAAAAATCGAAATGAAATCGTGCGTGAAATTCTGCGTTCAACCACCGAATCTTTGGGTCAAATTCATTATGTACAATGAAAACAATGAAAATGTTTCTCTTTTAATGGACGTTGATGTTTTATTATTATTGCCGCCAAACGTTCTTATAATTATCACACGATACAAGTATAAAATAGCGGCCATGTTTTCATAGTATCGCCATATTTCTTCCAATCCTCTCGTTTTTTTCTCACATCATTAATTATTGATGGAGATTTGACAAGAATTAATACACCATTAAACATTATCTCTTCGTTCGTCCACTCATCGCCATTTTATTATTTTAGTTCAGACGAAATTCAGGCCAATTTCACCATAAATGTAACATTTCCCGCCTTTTTATTATAGCACGTCTGGTCTACTAAGACCTTTCAATATTAGTTTATAATGGACAATGTTTTAATTGAAAACACAAATGAAAATATCGGTGGATTTTTGATATTTTCATTAAACTAATGAATTGTCTTCGACTGGAATTCCAACAATAACAATCTACTTTTGTTTTTTTTACGTCGTCAATCTGTTTAAAATACAGATCTATATTTCGTTTAGTTTTTTATATTTTCGATGGCCTCTACTACATGAAGATCTGAACGATTGTAGTGATAGGTCGCGTCAGAGGTCATACGAGCGACTATTGGCCCTATGGCGTCATAAATTTGATTAACCAATTAGCATTGATGTCACTAGTAATGTCACACCTAAAGCTCGCCGTAACAGACCGTTTCATTGGCTAATCCCTCACACCATTCAGAACACGTCAATGATAACAACTCTTCCAGATCCTAGTGTAGTAAAGGAAAGTAAAACGAAATCTTGAACTATAAAAACAAAACGAAATAGGATCTGTCTTTTAACCAGATTGGGTTTTCGTTTCCTTGTAATGTGACAAGGTTAGCATCTAGAACCGAACTAGGTATAATTCAGATGATTGACAATGGAATAAAAACGGCTGAGTACAAAATACGCGGATAAGACAAAAAAAAGTGAGGCATCCGTGCACACGTTTGCAGGCAAGTAAAAGAATCCTTGACAGGTGAAAACGTTGCCGAGCGGGCAAAATTCTCCATTCTTCATCGTCCCGGTTGGTGCAGAAAATTAGGACATTAAACCCTATTTCACTTTCATTACAAAAACTGGATCTAATTCAATTGATCGACCAAGGAATGAAAATGACTGAATTGCAAAAATAAAACAATGAATTATTTGTATTGGCCTGTTTTATGATTCTATTAGTTCTGGGTGAATAGACTGATGGACTGACACACACAATATTACTCTCATGAAATCCACGTGCATTCTAATGTATTTGTATTCCTTTATTTGGTAATAACAGACATCTCTATCCATCAATACGTCATAAATCACTCCACGGGACAACTCACTCATTTCACCTCACATAATAGGAACTATTTACATTAGATGACTAGCGTATGAATACCATATCGCTAATGAAGATATAAATGGATTCACCAATTTGATTAATAGCATACCATGTACATAAGTTATAACATCTATAGAAATAGACATACTTTACAGGAATCACAATTTCTGTCTGCGATATCACCCAGGGTGGAAGCAGACGTACACAGACGTATAGCTATTATATATAACAGGGCGCGGGGGGGGGGGGCTAGAAATTATCTAAATGACAGGGAAACAAAAGACCATTATAAAAAGCCACCGTTTTCATTAGCCCAGTCGGTGCAGAAAAGTAGGACGTTAAACCCAATTAAGAATGAAAATTTTGAATGTACAAATAGACATTATAAAACCTCCATGTCAGTTTAATAATCCATTTTATTTTGTTTTTTTCTTTTATGAATATAAATTTAATGTGGTTTTGTTTCCCTTACAGATTCTTCCTAAAGTTTTTTATGAAATGTAACCAGAATTGTTTAAAGAATGCTGGCAATCCGCGAGATATGAGAAGATTCCAGGTAATTTATTTCTAGATATATATTATTTTTTGGGTTTTTTTTGGTAGGAGCCCTCACTATTCCAAGATGGCGTCGTACTTGATTTACTCGTGTACTTCTCAATGTAAGTCAATTTCAGGAATTTGTGTAAATTACAAAAATGAATTTTCCGGACGTACAAGTCATGAAAGAAAAGTTTCTTTCAAACAATTTCATATAAATATCTTCTTCACCTGTTTCTTAGAACTGGAATAATTTTGTATAATTCTGTGATTTTCTGTTATTCAACTAAAACTACAAAAAAATATCTGAATTTAAACATGTGTTTTCTTTACACTTGATCGCTCTGCTGCCCTGAACAGCCTCGCGTTAAGATAAGCTCCATCATTAAACTCCGCACAGCGTTTAAAACACATCAACATACCGCTTTTAAACATTAAAAACATCGTTATCCCAGTTTTATTAACTTAAAACAAATATCTTAACGATATCGATAAACCATATTCACACACAGTTTTATATCAAATAGTTTTAACATTGTTTTAGAAATGTTGAAAATGTTGGTTTTACTTTTTATTTTCTAAAATTGCTTGTTTGATGATAGCCACTAATTCTGACCCGTCCATAAAACGCCCCACCCGTCTTTAAAACATTTTCAAATCTGCGGACATATAATATTTTGCGGACAGTAACCTCTTCTTCGGGCTTAAACAGCTATGAACCCGGAGTCGACTGGCGTGGTTTCAATTCCCTGGTTGTACGTGACAAGGAGTAGGGTCACCTTTCCAACCTCCTGGGTTTTCTCCGGGTCCTCTGGAATCCTCCCACTGCTAAAGACCCCTACACGCAAGCGAATTATTGTAATACAATTAAACCATATGTTAGTCCCGAAATGACCTAGTTTGTGTCGAAGAATCAATCACACCCTAGACGATAATCGACAAAAGAATGAAAGTAAGCAAAAACGAAAGTAGCCTAAGTGGTTTAAATTGAAAGTGGTACCAAGTACTCATGAACGTGTATGGGACACGTCATCTCCGTGATTTATAATACTATCGAGTGTAAATAAAACTCAATTATAAGGTTTGAGATTATTGACGAGACGGGTCTAACTGCTACTCGGGTAAAATACGAATAATAAAGTTTGAGAGTTTTGACGAGACGGGTCGAAATGATGCTCGGGTAAAATACGAAACAAAGTGCAACCAAAATTTGTTAGCTAATGTTATCAATATGGCCTCCATCACGTGCGACAGGAATTTAATCTAAGATAGATTTTGTATTTTCTACCGCCTATAACCAGATTATTATGAAGATATCAATTTAAGACAACTAATCAAAAGAACTTAAATGAATAAATTTTGGCAGCCAATCCTTCAAGATGACGTCTCCATCAATTGTTGGTCGTCTGCTGTTGTGGCTATTCATCACTCAAAATGGTTACGTCACGTGTCATCAATGGTATCACGTGATATGGTCACGTGTTTACGGAACTCTGCGATGTAAAATGATTTGTAACGAGAAGAAAGTGACGATGATTTCTTGTAAAATATGAAATGGTTTCTATTTGATTATCAACCCGTCATATCATGATATGGAACCATATAATAATATTAATTGAATTTTAGGATTCACCCGAATTTTGGGGTTACTATAATAATTATTTATAAAACTTTAAAAAATAACGTAATCTTCAATTTTCTTGCATATATAATTATCTAAGTATTTCAATGCCCGTGTTAAATTTCCATGATACACATGTATTCTCTGTTACGTTTATAGGTAGCTGTATCGACGTCAGTAGCTATAGATGGGCCACTATTAACAGTGTCAGATAATATGTTTGTACACAATAACTCGAAACATGGTCGACGAGCAAGACGACTCGATCCTACAGAAGGAGGTGAGTATTTATAGACAAGTTGCAGAGAAAGAACGCCGCCATGATGTGAAGATGAACTAGCATACTGACGTCAACTACACTTATGACGTCAACTACACTTATGACGTCACAGATTAACTAGAATAATGACGTCACAGATTAACTAGCATATTGACGTCAACTAGTGCAATGACGTATTGTAAACTAGCATGAACGAGCTAGTAACAGAGCATTGTGGCAAATCTGAAAATCGTGAATTTGGATTAGTTTCTCTCACGAATTATTTTGTTTACAACGTTAAGGCCATATTAATAGTGTGTGTGAGCATGGTTTGAATGGCTTCATTATTTTCTTTTCTTTTCTTTCATTTTGTACATCAATTTTAGTCTTGCTAGTCCCTTAAAACTCCGATAAATAGCAGAAACTCCCCTTTTGGAATTTTTTATTTTATACTAAATAATTATTAATAGTAATCAAGAAATTGGTTCCAAACTTCAAAACGAAAATCCTAATTAAACTAACGATTGTATAGTACGTTAATCGGAACCCCTATTAAAATAACCATAATTTCTAAACCCCTATCTTATAAACCTGTTTCTAGGGGTCGCTGATCGTATCTTGTCTAATAGTTCCAGATTTTATTTTATATTTTTCAAGCTCGACTATTTTGTTGTAGTTTCATCTCGTCTTACGAAGAACAATTGAACGGCCATGTTGGATTATTCGTTTAATTAGAATGACAATACAGGTCTATCAAAAAGCGCGGCAAGCCAGCTGTTAGAAAGAAAAATTGTCGTCTGCCCATCTGTTAGCTTCCTTCTGCTAACATCTGGGAGCGCGTGCTCTTCTTCTTTATAGTCTTACTAATATAACTCGGTAAAATTCATCACCAGATCGATATTATTATGATCATTATCAATCAATATTAAAAATATCTCAATCGATTTAACAATCTGCTTACATATATACAAAAATTACTTTTGATTTAATTTGGAAAGAAAGACACAGAAAAAAAACCATCTAAGGTTTTTGGTTTATTTTTGTTGTGAAAATATAAAAAAAATATTAAAAAAAAAAAAAATTCCCAAACTTTAATTTTCAAATTCATCGTCCAATTTTAGCAACAATAAGCCAATTAACCTTTCTTTCTATGACGGTATCATCCTATTTAAATCTTCATTCACGCGCACTGCACGAGACAATTTAGTATGGGAAAAAGTGATATTAGTAGAAGAGGACATTGTAAAATATTTCATCTTAGAACATGATGGCGACCGAGCTGAGGTGAAGAAGAAATACATTATACTTGACGTGTCGTTGGCTTGTCGGCCGACGCATTCATTAAAATTGCAGTACGCTAATTAATACCAACGGCCCAACCATCTGTGCCTCTATTAAATGCCCGCTACAAACCCAAGTAAACGACTTCTGTAAGACCACCATATTTATATTGTGCTGAAACTGTCGTCTGGGCGAACATTTCGCGCCCTTTCCAGAGACGTTATATTTGTAGTTCAGTAGCTGTGATGTTTATTTAACGTCACGGTGAGAAATAAAACATGACCGCTAGTTATTGTCTATTACCCATAATTATAATTTAACTGACTCCAAGACAAATATGATATACAGTCACGTGAGATAACGAACAGAAAGTTGTCATTTATCTTTTGGTGTACTGTATCATAATGATAATAATTTGTAAGATGTACAGACACGTGACAAATCGAACATGACGTAGTATTTTGGGTCTCAATAATTTATATGTATAATAATAATAGTTTAAAGGCAATTCCCTTTGATATTATACACGAATTGCATCGTTTGTTTGGTCAATTGGGAATTAACGAAGAATGAGTGTAAAAATAAATAGTGGTCGAAATCTCATTCACCTTTCCAGTAAGTTTTCTATATTTGGTAAACCAATGATACAATATCGAACTGGGTTTTAAAACTCATCCGGGCATCCTTTACATTACTAGATCGTTCCATTGTTTTTGTGGTAGTATTTGTATCCAGTTGAAGTAGCCCCGGCCAACCAGGCATTGCCCACATGCTCGTATGACCAGTCCGCCCCTGCTTCATCAAAGTAATCATAGAGACATTTACGAAGCTCCCCCAAGTTTAAATCACAAGATATCAAATCTGGCGGAATTTAGCTCAACATGAAAACGATTAGCGACCACCCATAACAGTCGATACACTCCTTAATTAAACCATAACCTTATTGTTTACAATTTATAGAGATTTGAAAAATATCTTACTTCCATTCCAACTCAGGACTTTAAACTGATGAATATCAAAGAGTTCGTGACATCGCCAACAGAATCGAAACTGTTTCATCACAAAGACACGGGATCCCTTTCTGTAGCCAGTCAAAGACTTGAGATATGTCGTTACATTTTGAGGTTCATGTTAAAGCCACGTGTATGAACTAACAATAAAAGTCGCAATATTTCATTTAAAAATGTTTTCGCAAATTAATAATAGAATGGTACGAGAGCATTGGTCTCAGATGGTCTTAAAATTTCATTCAAAAAGATTTCGCAAATTTACAACGGAAGCAGGGTAAATGTCGTGTTTGAGGTCTTGACAAATGTTAGCGTCGCCGATCCGGATCGTGTATTTTCGGACAACATCTACTTTCTCACAAATACTCAGGTTTGGCAGTTGACATTTAATTAAGAAAACAATATTAAAAATAGAATTTTTCCAACACTATTACACTATTTATATCGTTTGCATTGGATTCCGAATGCTGACAAATTCTCAATTTATCATATCGTTGTAAATACAGAAAGGAATTGAACTGTTTGTGGACTGATATTACGTTTAAAAGGTGTTCGGCAGATTCGACATCTGAGTTTTTAAAACAAGTGAAAACAGTTTCCTTTTAAACAAATCTTTATTTGCCTGTTTCATCAGAACATATCCAGCAGCCCCTTTATTTTCTCTTTTATTTGAAAGTGTATGGAGTGAAGTGTGTGCCAAAAATGACATGAGTATTCGAATTTTGCTGCATGATTGCTTTCTGTAATTTGTTCAACATATTATATTTAAAGTGCTTGTTCGCCATTCTTCTTGGTTTTTAATCTATGAAATCCCGCCTTTTTTTTTCTCATTTAATTTCGGGGTTTTAATTTGTTTTTCAAATTCTCTTTTTGTCATTGTGAACAGTTCGACTCTTAATGTGGGATTTATATTTAAGAATATAAGAAAACATTATTATTTCTTGATAATCTTGACTAAATTTAAATAATTTGGTTATTTTTGCTAGGTTATCCAGGCACTACTTTGTATTCCGACCCGATGTATCCTAAAATACAAAGCCCCGCTAGAAACCAAGATGGTTGGTAATCAAAATTTTAGTTATATATTTTATTTTAACTTTTAATTAATTAGTTTTAAAAATTATTAAAAAATAAAAACGACACATGTAAAGTAAAAAGAAATTAATCCACGGTTTTTATTTTTTGGGTTATTTAATGTTAGTTTTAATGACTTTAAATGTCATATTTTTGTTTAGATTTACAATTATTTGCTTATGTTTGCCATTTTGTTCAGCTTTACATAAATCGATGCACGTGCATGTATTGTGTTTCTGTTGCCCTGTGTTAGTTGTTTAATCACATAATCAAATCCGCAATATGTTATAAAAAATTAAAGATGTGTTCTAATTTGGTACTATACGAAGAAACAGTACGTTTATATTTATTGGGGGGTCGCGCTGTCCGGGCAAAATTTCCCACATAGCACACTGTATGGCGTACGCCCGTCTTCATTATCCCAGTTCGGAGCAGAACAGTAGGACGTTAAACTCCATTTCATTTCATTTCATTTTTTCTATTTGTTGGAGCGTTATAATATATCAGTTATAGGTTTTGTATTTCCAGCTACGCCATGTATAAAGGCTATCTGTCCAAGTGAAGGTTGGACGAGCGGTGGAACAACAGTTATTATTATAGGAGATAATTTCTTCGATGGTTTGCAACTCGTGTTTGGTACCATGTTAGTCTGGAGTGAGGTAAGTTCAAACTTTTATTACATTTTCTGCTGATTACGTAATATACATTTGTGTATCACTTGATGCGCTTCTGTTTATTACGTGGTACACATCTGTTTATTACGTGATACACTTCTGTTTATTACGTGATACACGTTTGTTGATCACGTGATATACCTCTTTATTAGAGATACAGTTCTTACAACAAAATCATTTTTGTAATTTCGAATGTTTTCTCGGGTCTCAAACTATGATCTCTCAATTCATTATCCACGCACGAGAAAACTTTTGAATAAATAATTTTTTTGTTATATGCTTCGAAATGAATCTAATCATAAACTTGATTGTTTGACGTTTTCAAAGCCCATGTTTAGTAAACAAACATAATAATGTATGCCCTGGATTTTATTAATTCTTTATTTTACAATTTGTTCGTTCTTCTACTTTTCTCTCTCTCTGTCATCACTCAGTCTATTTTACCTCCTGCAGGACCCGCCTTCTGTTGATAAATTCACCCTACGATTGATTTATATAATATTAAACCATTAGCCAGTCTAATTCTGGAAATTTACGCCCCTTTTATAAACCCCTTTATCCTATTTGATACCCCTTTCTTCTGCACGAGACTAAAAGATCCCTAAAAGGAAATTTAAATCAAGTTCAAACAATGTAAACAATCGGCATGTCGGCATCTTTGATGTCGGTCATAATGTGTTAATCTGTTGTATTGTATTCACCGATTGGTTGTTGAGAGTCGAGTATTAAAGGCAGTAATACATGTAATTATACCCCGGTACCAATATCCGGCGGATTGCCGCTCAATTATAACCTTACACGCTTACACGCTACATATCACCTTTACGACTTCTCGGATAAAACATTCATACTGAGAGGCTCTATTGGGGTGATATTATTCTGTAATGAACTAGGGTTTAACGTCCTACTGTTCTGCTCCGACTGTGCTAATGAAGACGGGCTATTATTCTATTATAAGTCATGTAGTACAATAGGAAAGCTGGATTTGCATAATAATTTCATATAATGCTGATCCTAAAATCATTGTAACATTAAAAGATATTTACAGAGCCATCAGTTTGCATAATGATCAGGTATTTCTTCATCAAAATAACCATATTTGAAATATTTAATCCAATGCCTACAATTATTTTTCTACATTAATATTTGGAATATTTTATTTAAAAAAAGAAACTAATATTTAAAAAATACCATGTTAGAAATTAATATGAATTGTTTGTCGGTGCGCGGGGGCTGCTTTTCTGGTAACACCTCATACCACTTCTTGGATATTTGGCAAGTTCATATAGGTTCTCATACACTTTGATGAACGTCCTACCTTTCGTAACCAACCTGGGTAATGACGTATGAAGATCGACAACCAATTCCAACTATGAATGGATCTTTTACGTGCACAACAACGGGTATACATCTCCTCTTTACCTGGCATTTAGTAATTGAACAGTAACACACTAACACTATTTATGGAATAAGAATTACTAGTTTATTAACATGCAACGTTTCGACGATGATGCCCTCATTTGCTTGATAAAGATGAGGGTATCATCGTCGAAACGTTGCATGTTAATCCACAAATAGTGTTAGTGGGTATATATTTATAATATTTTTGTTCAAATCCGAACGACTACAAGCTGCAAGATAATGGCGACGACGACCATTAGGCTAATCGTTTGGATGTACATTTGATTTGTGTAAACTGTCTAAAGGCCAGTTGTTAGATCCCGTATAAAATTTCCATGGTAGCTTTAAATAAAATATCCCAATAATCGTTTGAATTGTTAGACGGCAAGAAAATTGACAGAAGATGAATTCCCTTCCTTTATGGTCGGCCATGTTTAATATTCACCCACTACGCCCCTCACCTTCTGTCACATATAGACTCCTACAACAGGTCTTTTATAAATTAGTCCCTATCAACAAGACCTTATCAAACAATCTCACACTTGGCCATTTATTTTATAGCCTCGAACACTAGTTTATTTTATGGTATTTTGATGATGAGTTTCGTGACATCAGATCATAAATCGTTATAATTAACACTGGATAGTCTAGTCTATTCCTTTGATCAGTACCGATAGTAAACAAGATTCGCGTTTTTATCTTCTGTCGTTGACGTTTGATTAACCACATCAAAAATTTACAAAACTCATAAAAAATATTCTCTCCTTTTTTTCAAATATTTTCTGGACATGTTATTAATATTAAGATAATGGAGCCGGTATTTTCTTCAGATAGGTAAATGAAATTAAATGGGGTTTAACGTCCTACTGTTCTGCACCGACTGGGATAATGGAAGACGACGGTCAGATGGGTAAAATAAAAGCGAGTATAAATGTCTAAACTCGGTGAATGGTTTTATTGATATGATGACTATATTATCTAAATAATGAGAATTTAAAGGCCTGTCGATTCTTATTAAACACACATGCAAAAGCTAAATCTGCCTATTGCAGGTCTTCCTTTAGGTCTGAAATGTTACCTAAACTATTATTTAGACATTAATTAAATTGTCCAGACCATAATCAACTCTCGATGTCATAGCTAGCCTGCGATATTTACTGGACTAGGATCCGATTTGCTGCTCAACTATCATTCATGATTAAATCATGAACTGCATAATCCAGACTATGTATTTTATCGTATCAACTTTAGTAATGATGATCGAGGCTAGACCGAAAATTCAATCGCTAAATTCTCGGTTCAGAGTGGATCAATTTGACTGCGATTTTCAGCAAATTCCCTTTACAGTATCTAGTTTTTAACTATTATAGTGAGAACTACCAGCTCTTTATCTAATCTCCCATAATGTATATATAATTTTTTTTATTTTACCCGGATGGCCGACTGCTGGGTTTCACGTTATTCACGTTGATAAAATATGAATTATTGATCCTTACATTGTCAGTGGCCATTCCTTTTTATTTTAGCCCGACTGTTGAGTTCTGTTGAGTTGTTATTTAACTCTTAATCATATAACAATTTAAACCCCAATTATCTTGAACCAACCGACGGCGTACGGTGTAGTAATATACACTATTTGTGGTTTATTTACATTATAATCCCAGCGGAGTGTTATTATCAGTACTAGACGTGATGTGATGATATATAGTGCGGTGGTATTTAGGTTTCCTGGGATTAGAATCATAGAGTGTGGTTTGTTTTGGTTGTCCCTAGATACCTCGGCTCGTCGCTAACATAACTAATTATCACAATTCACTTAAATACGAAACTATTACAAACAGTTTAGCTTCTGAGTGAAATCTCGCACCCTGCTGAGATCTAGCGAGATTTGTTACGATTCGTGTTATGGCTCTGTTTTTATGACCTGTGGTTTGTTTTCACGTGCAGTGACATGAAATTGAAAAGTAAATAGTGTTTATTTATTTTGTAAATTTCAATAAATAAAAGTTGCTGTGATTCGTGTAAGGACTTCTGTATATCGAATATCAAGCCTCGAAATATCTTCTGGTCAATTGCAAGCGATTTTCTTCATTTTCATTTTCGTGTCAATAGTGACATGCTTTACTGTGGATTGACGGGTTTTATTGTTTCATCTAGCACGACTTGGGGGTCTTGTGCGCATATGGGCACGTGGTTGAATTAATGTAATGAAAATATACGCTCTCTCTCTCTCTCTTTCTCTCTCTCTCTCTCTCTCTCATTGTTTTGTTATTTTGATATTAATATTTACGTCATATGTTTGTATTTTTAGTTATTGACGTCACATGCTATACGTGTACAGACCCCGCCACGTCACATCCCTGGTGTTGTGGAAGTGACGTTATCCTATAAATCTAAACAGTTCTGTAAAGGTGCTCCTGGCAGATTTGTATATACAGGTAAATATATAATACACCCTCACATACCCCCCCACCCCCCCCCCCACCCCCCAAAAAAAACGTATATGTTCATTTCATTGTTCGTACCAACTGCAGACGTTTTCATCGGTAGAGAATAGAAATCCGAAAATAAATTTTAGCCCTTCGCAAATGAAAAGACTGGATTCTTGAAACATTTTAGTATAATTTTCACGAATAAGATCCATGATCCTTAAAAAGAATGGCACTTCATATAAAAATGACTGAATTGGGTATTTAACAGTGGAATGACCGATAGAATTATGAGATTAAAAAATGACTGAATCAGGTATTAAACAGTAAAATGGCCGCCAGAATAATTAGATTTAAAAAATCACTGAATTAGATATTTAACAGTGGAATAACTGATAGAATAATTAGATTAAAAAATGACTGAATCGGGTATTAAACAATGGAATGACCGATAGAATAATTAAAAAATGACTGAATTAAGTATTAAACAGTGGAATGCCCGACAGAATAATGCTATTAAAGTAGAAAATGTGTGAAATGTAAGATATGGAATACGATGTAATTTTAGTTGTTTTATAACATATTTACCCCATCAAAAACATCACAACAATAACATAACACGTGTTGGATACCATCATATAACACTATACATTACAATATATAAATACAAAACAGTCATACACTGTCATACAGCTTATACTGATGATGTAATCAGATACATTAATACGTCATCATTTACTGTGTATTGCTATATCAAACCATGTGGAACCACGCCCCCTTTAACACGTGGTCCTAACTCTACTACACATGTTCTTTAAATTCTCTCAAATATTTCTTGAACTAATATTGAAATTCGTCGCACATTGTTTTTATATACTTTCATCTTTTATACATTGATGATCGAATTACACCTCAAATCTTTTATCGTTTTGTCTCTAGAACAGTATCATAAATCTCCCTTGTGAGGAGAAAACATAAAAAAAATGAGTACTTATGTTCATAGATGAGGATTCAGCCAGAAATGTGACAGTATTTTTACATCTTTTGTTTTATTCCAAAATATAATCACAACGTTTAGAATCAGGATGTAATAAAGAAGAAAGAAAGTAAAAAAAAAACTTATCTAAATGTCAAAAAGAAATAAGTATGTCGTCTTTCTCTTTTCGTTTCTCTACCAGTAGTTTTCAATCGCGAATCAGACGGAATTAAGAAACAGAATGAAAAATAACTGATCAAAAGTCCATTATCAATATCTATGGCGACTATTTCTCCCCCTATTTCGTTCCACTATCGAGAGTTTGAATCGGGAATCAGGCATCCTCACTTTCAATCATTCACTAGACACCAGTCAACCACCTCAACTAAACTTGAATGGATTGGAAACAATTAAGCACGAGCTCTCGTGCCATTCTAGGCTTTAAAGAAGTTTATCGCGCGCTTGGGATGTCGTCTGTTATTGACCTCGGATCAGACGTGAAGAAAATCAGGTCACGTGGGTTAGAAATCTTCCTCGCTTGTGTCTTTTGTTGTCAGTGTAAATGGTCGGAACCCCAGATGCTTCGATTTAACACGCGGAGACTCCTGATATAGAATATTCAACACAAGTAATGGATACAAAATATAAATAGTCAACTCAATCGCACAAAAGATAAAGATATCGATAAAATAATATCTAATAAATCGACAATAATTCAAAACTTTTACATTTTATAAGTGGGAATAACAAAAAGTTGAATTTAGCAGACCATGCAAGACAACCGCATAACAGATTATACTGGTTGCGAACTTCAACTGTCACACCTTGGCCTTATTTCACCTTAACTTCAACACGCACACCAGAACATGCGCAAAACATGACCGGGCCATATTTCAGACTCTCTCCTGAACTGAACTTCAACAACTGTCACATCTGGCCCATGTTTTAGACTCTTCCCTGAACTTCAACTGTCACACCTAGGTCATATTTTAGACTCTCCCCTGGACGCTCACATTAGCCGTCTATCTAATCAGATGCATAAAAAATATTCCAAGTACAGAAAAATCAAAAAACAAGACAAAACAAAAAAAACCCTGGTAAATACTTAGATTTAAGTCCACAATTAGTGATAGCCAGGATGGTCTTTTTATTTTTTCTGCGTCTGATATTTTCAGCTTTAACCGAACCAACGATTGATTATGGTTTCCAGAGATTAATGAAATTGGTTCCACGACATCCGGGTGATCCAGAAAAACTACCAAAGGTATAATAACAACATTCTAGTTTTCAGTCCAAGATTATCGATAATGTTAAATAATGGAATTTTAAGTTTCTATCTAGCAAATTGTGATCAAAAAACATTGGAAAAATAAATAATTTTATTCATTATAGAGTGTTTCCGTAGGAATGTTTATCTCAATAGACATCTTTCTCAAAAACTGAACCTTGTAAAGAAATAATGTGATTGGTAAAGAGTTTTTCAGTATGCAAATTTATCATAAACGACATTTTGTTTTTCTCAACCCTTTCAATTCGAAGGTTTCTGTTTTATTCAACTGAAAATTTAACCATTTTTCTTTTGTTTTTTTTTAGGAAATTATTTTAAAAAGAGCAGCCGATTTAGCGGAAGCACTTTACTCGATGCCGAGGAATCACAATCAATTGTCACTTCCTGCACCCCGATCACCGGCCATCAACAACACCTCACCTATGTCAGGATTCAATGCATACCCAAGTCAGCTTGCCGTTAGTGTCGGCAGTGTGGCGGATTCAGCTTCCGGTCAGTGGGAGGAAGGTTGGTTCTCTCACCCAACCTCCAGCAATTACTTCCCCTTAAAAAGTTGTTCCCCCTTCTTTGAAGTTGTCTAAGCTGTCACTGTCACCCTTCTGAGCTCTTGCCTATCTTTACTGTGCCTAACTCTATCATAGCTTCTTGTTGCTTGTGTGGCTGTATCTCACTTCCGTTTGGGGTTATCCCCCTTTAGTTAGGCATAATATGTGCTTGTAGTATAATTAGGTTATGATGGAATATTCTGCTCATGCGCTGTCCTTAGTATATAAATAGTCTATAGCGTCTTGTGTAACTTGCTCACTGTGGGGTGTTTAACCCTACAATTCAATAACCCCACACTATCCTTGACACCTAGGTATGATAGAGCTTCTAGTGAAATTACGTCATGATGGAATATTTGACTCTGCATTCGGTACTCCTTCAGTGACTTCCTCAGCACCCTTTCTGTGTTCTAGTTCTATCGTAAATGCTGGAGTTATTTATATTGTGGCTTTTATTTTTTAATGCTTAAAATGTGTGTATTGTATTACTTGACATGCTTATTGATATAACTTCTACTAATAATGTATGTATAGCAACTATAATCTGCGAGAACAAAGCATGGACTAAACATATTTATATTAAATGATTTAAGAGCAAACCGCGTTGGTGTCATAAACATTTTGACAAAGGGCGAGAACTCGTTTCTTGTTATAAAGTGAAGGAATACAGTTGTAGTCTATTTTGATGTCTTCGTTTTGAAGGAAATGAAACATAATGTATCCAGCATAATATCATTAAAGTCTGTTCAAATTTGATTGTATAATTAGATATTATGACCGGCAGTGGAAGTGATATAGAATACAGTATATTATTCCGTTTTACTTATTTTTTGAATGCCCAAACCGGAAGTAGAATGTATATTGACTGTTGCTATGGTATTATTTATAGGTTATAATAGGAGTCAGAGTTCGAGTGTTTCACCCCGAGGTTATGGTTCTAACGGTTCAACACCTCACAGTAATGGCAGCTACACGAGCACACCGGGGATGAACGGTTATCACCATGGTGGTGGTGCACTAGGGAATATGGGTAAGTTGACATTACGATATATATATATAAACTTACGTCAGTCATTTCCTTTGATCTTCAGGTGTTTATTTTCTCGGTGTAATAACTCCATATAAGGTGTACGGGGCTTTATTCTATATAATAACCAGGTGTGGGGTCGTTATTCTACAGTAATATCTCCATATAAGGTGTACGGGGTTTTTTGTTCTATATAATAAACCTGTCTGGGTTCTTTCGTTTCCTAATAACCCGGTGTGAGGTCTTTATTCTACATAAAACAACGTATCTCAACAATCTGATAAAACACAGGTCCTATTTCGTTTCGTTTTTTATAGTTTAAAATTTCGTTTTACTTGTCTTCACAACATTAGGATTTGGAAGAGATGTTGTATAACCAACGTACTGGCTGATGTGAGGGATTAGTCAATGAAACGGCCTGTTACGGCGAGTTCTTTTCGTGATCTGCATGGAACTGTGGGTATACCCCTAGAAACGTCAACGCTGATTGATTAATCATTGTCTGGCGCTATAGGGCCAAAAGCCGCTCGCACGACCCCTGACACGACCGTCCAGTACAACTGGTCAGATTTTTTATAGTGTAGGCCATCGAAAGTATAAAAAAACGAAACGAAATATAGATCTGTATTTTAATCAGATTGGTACCTCAATAACCCAATGTCAAGGGTAAATGAAACGACATTTGGTTTAACATCCTACTGTACTGCTTCGACTGGGCTAATGAAGACCTCAACGGTTCTTTTATCCCATCCGAACGACTATACATTGTCCCTTGCTAGGCCCCTCTCCCTGCGCCATTGACAACGGGGAGCCAGGGAAGATCGGAGTCGAACGCGGGACCTCAATGATAGCGAGCCAACATCTGACTCATTGAGCCACCGCGACTTCCTCTATTTAGCCTATAAATTGAGTGAGTTGTCCTATAAATTATTTTGCAATCAATGACTACAACTATAACTATAATTACCACGTTTACAACCAGGTCTCCTGTCAACCTCGACACAAAAATTAATCTATTTTCAATTTATCAGAACAATAAACCAAATTGTACCATTGATCAGATTGATGGACGAAATGAGAGAGCTACACAGATAAATGGACGAATAATAGTCTTGATTATATGAGTTGTATTGCTGTATGATTGATAGTATTTACACATCATAAATTATGATCTGTAGTCACAAATATCAAGACGGTGTGTTTGAGCTCGGATCGGGTGGGCTACTAATCTATGTCAACGTCGCGGAAACAATAAATGAAAAACCAAATGTCAAGTTTTGACGATTGGCCCGATTATTTAACTTTAAACGATTTTAAATCATGCACAGAAACGTCGTTTCGTCTTCTTATTGTCCATTAGTCCCTAGAAAAGATTTTTATATCTCTGTTGAAATAATCTGTGAACGGAATGAATCGGTGCAGAGGATGTTACCTTCCTTGTCTGTAGCAAACAGACGAATCTGCAAACGATCTCTTATATTTGGTCTTTGGTGTTTAGGATACGATTTTAGGTGCTGAATGTGTAACCATGCCAACTAAAGCTTATTCAAAATACGAAGTTTTACGTACACACCCTTCCTCGGTTGAAAAATACATGCACCAAACATACAGTACATCGTACCCGGATGGAATGACTTTCTGGGAATAACTACAATCTACACTATGAATAAAATCCATTTTACGGTCAAATGAATATTCTGGTATCATATATATATATATAGACCTACAAATCATAACGCCGACTTCATTCTTGTATTCAATAGTTGTAATTGACTTGCTAATCCGGACTCAATTCAATGAGTAACGATCATTCTGGACAAATATATTAACACCATCCTCGTGTTTACCTAGTCATTAGTGACGTCAAACTAATGGCTCGCGCGAACAAAACCGAAACGAAATAAAGTTATTTTATTTGCTGGATGTCGGTTGAAGTGATTGTTAGCTATGTCGTATAATTAATAGAAAGATTCTATGTTGTTATAAGCCGGTCCACAAAACATTGTAATTATCTCTCTTTCGTTTCCTTTATTCTTCCACCAGTAGAAAATATCGAATTTTAATCAAACCGTGTTTTGTACTGACAGATGGAAGGCGACGTTTCTAGAGCAGATTGTTTCCCCGGTTCACTTGTTCCCGACTCTTTTGTCTTTTAAAATCATGCTCTGTGTGTCAGAGATGGAAATAAAACTAGAAGAGTCGATAGCAAGGGATTAACGGGCTTTAGTTGTATTTATGAATGAATTATTTTAAATACTATAGTAGATAGAATACACTTTAGAATCAATAATTTGTCTATCTACAAATATCACACGCAACGTTTAACAGGTGATCGTCTTCTTCTATTGGGAGGGGGGGTGCATGGCCGAATGGTTAGCACGTGCGCGCTGTATCATAGGGTCTGTCATTGAGTCAACTGGCGTGGTTTCGATTACCAGGTTGAACGTGACAAGGAATAGGGTCGCCTATCCAACCTCGTGGGTTTTCTCTGGGTTCTCCGGTTTCCTCCCACTGCTAAAGACCCCTACGCGCAAGCGAATTATTGAAATAAAATTAAAATTGAACCAGTCATGAAATAGCCTACTCTCTCTCTCTCCCTCTCTCTCTCTCTCTCTCTCTCTCTCTCTCTCTCTCTTCTTCTTCTTCTTCTTCTTCTTCTCCCATTGATATATGCTTAGCGTTGCGCAAGAGTCTTTCCTGTGAGAGGAAACTTTACTACTCGGAGTAAACCCAAGCGGAGTAAACCGCAGCTAGAGCTTGAAACGCTACACTCTAAGACCATTAGGCCACTTGGTCTTTAGCAGTGGGAGGAAACCGGAAAACCCGGAGAAAACCCACAAGGTTGGATGGCTTGTTTAGGTTATCTACAGTACAAACTACTCCACCACAAAACAACATTTGTGCGTTCACCATTTTGAAAAATGAATGAATATATAACAATCTGATTAAAACACAGATCCTATTTCGTTTCGTTTTCTTATAGTTCAGAATTTCGTTTTACTTGTCTTTACTACACTAGGGTCCGGATGAGTTTTTATGTAACCTCCATTCTGGATAGCGTGCGGCATTAGCCAATGAAACCATCTGTTACGGCGACTTCTTGGTGTGCGATGCACGGAACTGTGCGTAAACGACTAGAAACGTCAACGCTCTTTGATTAATCAATGTCTGACGTCATAGTGTCAAAAGCCGTTGGTGCGACTTCTGACGCGACCTTTTACTACAACTGGTCAGATCTTCATGTAGTGTAGGCCATCGAAAGTATAAAAAAACGAAACGAAATATAGATGTGTATTTTAATCAGATTGTAATTAACAAGTGAATACACCCGTATATATATATGTATTGTATTTCTTTTTCCAGGTTTAGACCATTTTTTACGAGATGAAGCCAGCAGATTAGGAGGTTAGTTTCCTACATTATTTCCTATATTATTTGTCGTTATATTCTTTCTCTCCGCTTCATTCATCCCTGCTCAAATATTCTATTGGTTTTATTTTATAAATGTAGTCTTTCTTTATTTTTAAATGTTTTCTTGTTTTTATTTTCATATATTTTTTGTAATTTTATCTTTTCTTATTATTTAGTTTTAGTTGGTGTTTCTTCTTCTTCCATCTGTAATTTTTGTTTCCACTTTTTTTAATTTTCTTCAGTTAATGCCCCACATTCGCCACCTATTCACAATATGGCTGCCCAGGGTCTGGGGAGCTGTACGCCTGGTATATTCTCCTTCTCACCGGCCAATATGATCACTGCCGTTAAACAAAGAAGTGCTTTCGCTCCAGTGCTAAGGGGGGCAAATAGTCCCCCGCCCTCCTTTCCTGGTATTCAGACTGGGGGTTGGACTCACCCATTTTTACACGTTAGTACATATTTCAACATCCTAAATCATAACAAAATTATTTCCAAATTTCGGATATCCGTACAAAATTAGATTTTATGTATTTTAGATTTTGTGCTAATTCGACCATTTGGTCATTATTTTTATTTTTATTTATCTTTCCTATTTCTTGTATTTTATTAAATTTTACTTTGATATTTTCTAGGTAATCTGTATTTTTTTATATATTGTTTGTTCCTTATAAAAATTATTTTTCAAATTATTTTTTTAAGCAATTATGTTTATTTGTTTTTTCAGGAATGAGTTCGATAGTGGCGTCCCCATTTACAAGCGTGAATCCATTCGCTTTGCCCACGTGTAACTCACAGGCGTACAGTGGTTCAATTGTCTCCCCTGCCAAATGACCACTAGATGGCCGCCATATTGAACGGACCTCAGACACGTATTAAACGTCGTATGATTGGTTGAAAATCAAAATAAAGTGAAAGTGGTGGCGATAGTTAAAACTTTGTGCTGTGAACTGAATCAATGAGACACGAGACTTTGTTCTGTTTCAGTTATGACTCTATTTGATATAATCTCTTTAACTAAAGAGACCATTTACAGTATTCTACTTAAAACTATCTTTATTATTGTGATACCCATACTTCCTCTCTTGCCAGGAGTTATCTCCTCATGTATATAGAGTCTCAATTAACCAGCTCACGCGTCATCTTGCTCAGAGGACTGGATATCTGGGACACTGGTAGTCGCGATCGCGATCTACAGGATGAATCTTCATCTCGAACCACGATTCAACGTGAAAACCGGAAGTTATTGAACTATAGAAAATAGTTCGTTTTTTGTGCTAGAACAATATTATTACTACGCAGGGATGGTCAAGTGAAACGTGAGTGAACAGTCATGAATAAAAAAAATTCTTACACTGACAAAATGGAGGTGTTTTATCTACTATTTGTAAATGACGATGTGTTTTGATGTATATTGAAGTCACGTGCTATGGATTAATTAATTAATTAATTATGATATTATATATAGAAACAAAGTTGTAAATATTCATACTGTTAAATGGTGTTCATTTTATTTATCAGTTTAAATACTGATCTTTATATAAAAATATTTTATTGTTTAATTAAATCAAAATAAGAGTTCTACTTAAAATCATAGACGTTTTATTTCAAAAGTTTAGTTTATTGCCTTTTATGGTAATTCTTTTTTAAATAAATAATTTATATAAAATCAAAATACCCACAAGTAAACCAATTCATGCGGCAGAAATGAAATGTGGTTTTAAGCCCGGACCTTTATGTAGCAACTGGGTTAATGAAGATGGGCACGCTTATCCGACTAGTCAAATGTCTTGCATAGTCGTGATCATCAAGACGCAAGCCACATAGTAATTATAGATCATGGTTTTGCTTTAATTGAAAATTAGATTTTATTTATAGATTTAAGCAGGAGACCAATTCATGAAAACTTGAAACTAAAACAGTTTAATGATTCATTGATTGAGCACTAACTTCATAGCACACATTTTTTCTTCTGACCAATGAAAAAGCTACATTAAGTTTTCGTGAATAAGGCGGTCATAGTTGTATGGAGAGCCATCTCTGCAAAAAAAAAGGGTATTTTAATTTATGACACTGCTGAGATGTCCTTTCATTTCAACTTTATATAAATTGATATATGAATGGTGTAAAGTGACTTGTCTGCGCTACTAATCCCAGTGGAAGCAGAAGTCAAGCCCCGCGAACGAACAAACGTCTAAAATGACAAATATACAGATTATATTAGTAGACAAGGTTATCTAGTCATAATAACAGCCTCGATTATTCTAGTCATAATTGTTATCAAATGTTTATATTTTGTATGTCTACGTAAACATGTATGGTTTAAATACATTCACAAAGTTTTAGACAAAAACATCTAGTCAGCTTGGATAAAAAAATAACATATTATATTATTGAATTTAGGGGAATTTAGCATAAATTGTAGTTATTAAACCAAAGTTAAGAATAGTCCCCATATAAATAATTGCATTTAAAACGATTTAAATTTACGGAAATATCGTTGTTGTTAAAGGACAATATTGGTGTCAGTCGTTATCTCATATGTGATAGAACTTGTTAAACACGTTCCAAATATAATTTTAACACGATAGATGCGTAATTAAGGGAACAACAAACGGAAGTAACGAACGCAAAACGAAAACACGGGTCATCCTTCTATATAACTGATTGAAGTGACGAGTATTAACAGATACACGGGCGAATTTCTGCTCACTAATAATTCCTTCGAAGACCAAAAGTTGTTATATGAGACTGTGAGAGGATATCTGACGATTCAAAATGACTGACACCAATATTGTCCTTTAAACGAAGAGTTATCAAAAGTCCCCTGATATATTATAAAATATTTAACAGTATCTTTCAAGAAAAACCGAAACAGAACATAATGTCCCTTATATTATATTATTGCATTTTATAAGATTACGTTTTTACAAACAGACACTGTGTGCAATGTTATCAAAAGTCCCATATTTTTATCTAGTCATTTTGTTTTAAATATTGAATAGATTTGTTGAAATGAATGGTTTATTCTAGTCAATTCCATATAAATTATTCTTTACAACGTGTGTGGTGTAAATTGTTCCTGTATGAGAATTCGTAAAAAAAAATATTCATAAGAACGTCATCCATTTTCCATAATACTCTAAACGTTTAAAGTTCTTGAATTCTTGTAAACTGTGTACATAATTTTATCTCATGAATATTCATTAATTAGTAGTAATGATGTCATCAGATTTTGATATAAAATGGCGTCATAAAAGGAAAGCAATGTGTGTGAATTTAATGACGTGAATTTAATGACGGGGAATACGTCATGATATATTGATTAAAATGACGTCACATTATAAGGAGATGTGCAATATGTAAGTTTTAAAGTAAATCTGTTGAATAATAAATTTGTTTATTTCTGTATATGATTTTAATATACTGTCTCAAATATTATTTATTCTATGATATAGACTGTTTTTATATTAACAAGTTTTCAGATCCAATAAAAACAATTTTCCTCAGGAATATCACGCTGTTTTTCCTCCTATGCAAATCAAGCCAGCCTAAATTAAATTGGGTTTAACGTCTTGCTTCTCTGTGCCAGCCGGGCAAATGGAGATGGGCACATGAAGGAAATTTTGCCCACACAGTGGTTTTTCCACCTACTGTCGGGGGTTCTTTTACGTGCACGCCAATGTGTACACGATACTTTAGTTTTTTGTCCCATCCAAACGACACGATAATGCTCCTTGTCGGGTACTCGGTCCTACACCACTGACAAGTTGAAACCATGCTGGAAACTCCTGATGATATGACCCCCGGACATTGTGTTTGTCCAGTATCCTAACCTGATAAAAAAAACACCATTTGTTTATTGTGCAATCATAAAACTACAAGTTTTGTCGTTAGTTCCAGTTGTTATAGCAACGTGACTCGCGGTTTCACTTTATTGTAGAAGGAGGAGGTAACAGAAACACTTACTAGAGAATCTGAAGTATGTTGTATCGTTGTTAAAACCATTATACGGTGGAATATCCCTGCTTCCCTCATTAGTATTATACATTTTAGTTTTCTTTCCCACGAGTCTTGTAAGTAGTTCCGGGTCAGTACGTCAACAGGTGACGACGTATCGGTCACGTGCAGATTGGAAGTAATTCCCCAGTGCCACCTGTCGGGGAGATAAGTCTAATCAAGTGCAGAATTAAAGATAAGCAGTATTATGTTTAAAACAGATATAGCGTAAAAGTACAAGAGAAACTGTTAACTATGTAATATTAGCTTTTGCCTTTGGGACGCATATTCATACTCCTGTTTGATAAATCTACCCTCAATCAGTCGGATTAAAATACAGATCTATATTTCGTTTCGTTTTTTATACTTTCGATAACCTACACTACATGAAGTAAAGACAGGTAAAACGAAATTTTGAACTATAAGAAACGAAACGAGAGCACAAACCAAGTCAAGGAATGGGATCAATGCAGGTGCACTAGAAAAACATAAGCATATCCTGCACAATGTACGACATCTGTCAAACCAATGATCGGTGTGAAAGAGAGAGAGAGAGAGAGAGAGAGAAATGTGGTTTAACGTCCACTCGACACAAACTAGGTCATTTCGGGACTAACATATGGTTCAATTTTATTTCCATAATTCGCTTGCGCGTAGGGGTCTTTAGCAGTGGGAGGAAACCGGAGGACCCGGAGAAAACCCACGAGGTTGGACAGGCGACCCTACTCCTTGCCACGTACAACCGGGGATTCGAAACCACGCCAGTCGACTCAATGACACACTTTATGATACAGCGCGCGCATGAGAAATGAAACGAAATAGGATCTGTGTTTTAATCAGACTGACCCTCAATGCATATCGTTTGTGTTTTAATTAGTACAAGGTTATCCATACAATAACAAGGGGTTTAACGTCCTACTTTTCTGCACCGACTGGGCTAATGAAGAAGGGTACACGCCATACAGTGTGCTATGAGGGGAATTTAACCCGGACAGTGGTTCTTTTACGTGCCTGCCAATGTGTACACGGGACCTCGGTTTTTCGTCCTATCCGAACGACTATACAGTTGTCCTTGTCAGACCCTCTAACTTGTATAAAGCAGGGCGGATCCAGAGTCCCCCGCCCCCCGCCATACCACCACCACCAACCACCCCTGCACAACTACATAAAAAAAAATATTGGAAAACAACGCTTTTTTATGAGAAAAGTGTGACGGTCGTGTGCTTTATCCTTTATCATCATATGGCGGGATGGGATGGGTATTCAAAGCGCGAGATAATGATATAGACATATGTGATATCACAATTTATGTTTTGCATCACTGAAATTCAATAACAATGTGATCCTGCTACTTCATTATAAAAATTGACGTCAAACGGGGTGTTGGATTTCTCTCTTTAAAAAAACTATATATATATATGTATGCCTACGTAATTTGGAGACGATGATGTCATCATACATTGCCGACTGTCAAATTAATGTCCTTAACAGGAACCTGGCAAACCCGCTCCTGCAAAAATTCCAGGATCCGCCCCTGTAAGGAGCTGGCTCATTAACTAACCCCCTTGAGTTCGATTTCGGGGGTGGGGGGTCTAGTCTGGTTCGGGTGGTCCCCGGTGTGTGGTCTCGGGTGAATGATAGTCTGGTTCGAGTGGCCCCGGGTGAGTGGTCCCGGGTGAATGATAGCCGGGTGGTCCCGGGTGAATTATAGTGTGGTTCGGGTGATCCCGGTGAATGATATGCATGAGAAAGAACACTGTAACATATTATAAACAAAGTCAATAAATGGGATAGATGCAATATATTATTAACACCTGTCTACAATAGTAAGCACACCCTGCATCGTGTAGATCACTTATCAGTCAAATAATCGCTGTGCCACATCGTAACATTCGTCCATGGCACAAACCAAGTCAAGGAATGGGATCAATGCAGGTGCTCTAAACAGACTAAGCATATCCTGCACAATGTACGACATCTGTCAAACCAATGATCGGTGTGAAAGAGAGAGAGAGAGGGTTTAATGTCCACTCGACACAAACTAGGTCATTTCGGGAATAACATATGGTTCAATTTCATTTTCATAATTCGCTTGCGCGTAGGGGTCTTTAGCAGTGGGAGGAAACCGGAGAACCTGGAGAAAACCCACGAGGTTGGACAGGCGACCCTACTCCTTGTCACGTATAACCGGGGAATCGAAATCCCACCAGTTGACTCAATGACAGACCGTATGATACAGCGCACACGTGCTAACCACTAAGCCATCCAACCCCCCTTGATCGGTGTGAAATATCGTAGCCTTCAGTGATAGACCAAGTGAATGAATAGGATCAATAAGCTGTATTGTGAACTAGCCTGCAATAAGATTAAAGCCCTTGGTAATATTTTATTAATAAGTCAGATAATGAAGTATTGTAACGTCACGGTAGATTGTCACGATAGAAACTCGTTCACTTTAATTCATATCTTTATACCTGATCAGGTATTCATCTATTGTTATATTACCTGACCAGGTATTCATCTATTGTTATTTTACCTGCTGTTCATATGTTTTAAACAGGATTTTATTGCATTCATAGAACGTCTTTATTTTATGTATTTATACACACAGAGAGAAAACTAGAGATAGAGAGAGAGAGAGGGGGGAGAGAGATAGAGAAAAGGCACAGAGGGAGCGATAGAGACAGACAGAAATGAAATGAAATGAAATGGGGTTTAACGTCCTACTGTTCTGCTCCTATACTGGGCTAATGGAGACGGGCATACGCCATACAGTGTGCTATGAGGGAAATTTTGCCCGGACAGCGGCACAACGGCCTACTCTTATATCGAATTCGAACTGCCAGGGGATCTTTTACGTGCATTCCAATAAGAGACAGACAGACAAAAGGAGCGTGAAGGAGAGAGAGAGAGAGGGGCAGACAAAGGTGACTGAGAGACAGGGAGAGAGAACGAGAGATAGAGGGAAGGAGAGAGAGAGGGAAGGAGAGAGAGAGAGGGGGGGGTCCACTGCAAACCATATGACCCGCAGAAAACTCACGAGATTGGTCAAGCGACCCTACTTCTTGTCACCCGTGAGATTGGAATCAAAACCACGCCACTTGTCCTAATGACATACATTGTAAGCTATATAGAGCACGCGCCAGATCAATCAAACAACCCCATACAGTAAATAGGATTATACTCTTTTGCTCCGACTGGGCTAATGAAGACGCACATACGCCCGGACTGCGGCACTAAGGCCTACTCTTATATCGAATTCCAACCGCCAAGCGATCTGTTAAGTGCACGCTAATGTGGACACGGGACGTCGGTTTTTCGTCCTATCCGAACGACTAGACAGTTGTCCTCGTCAGGCTCTCCGTCCTGCATCACTGACAGGGGTAAACTTCGCCGAAAAATTCCGATAACTTTCGCGGCAAACACCGGGAGCGAACCCGCAACCTCCAAGCTAGCGAGCCAGTGTATTTCCCACTTAGTCGCAGCTGTATGGAGGGGGTCCCCGCCAAAACTCTCAATTTGTGAAAATACATTTGTCGATTTGTGAAAGTACATTTGTTAATTTGTCAAAATACAAAATACATTTGTCGATTTGTGAAAGTACATTTGTTAATTTGTCAAAATGCAAAATACATTTGTCGATTTGTGAAAATGCATTTGTTGATTTGTCATACAACAAAAATACATTTTTTCATGTGTGAAAATACACCTGTCGAACCTACAAAGCACAAATTTTGAAATAACACAGCTTAACTTTATAGTTTCAAGATATGTAATTTCAACATTTGTATTTTCAAGATATGTAATTTCAACATTTGTAGTTTCAACAGTTGTATTAACGACACTTGCATTATCGAGCCTTGCATTAGCAAGCCATGCATTAGCGAACTATGACCATATTTGGGTTGATGACGTTGATCATTAATCCGGAAAACGCCGAGTTTGGTCCTACAATGATGTCTCCCGTCTCAATAAAAATGGGAGATGCTAATTGTAGGCCGGTTGGGGAGGTTCGGGAATTTCCGGAGCCCAAAATGGCCGCTTTTTATAAATGAGTATTTTGGGGAATACTAACCCTAACCCTAACCCTAACCCTTTTAAGAAGGGTAAACGCCAAATTAGATCCAAGTTCAGTCTTCTTAAAAAGGGTTAGGGTTAGGATTAGGGTTAGTATTCCCAAAAATTTTCATTTATATAAAGCGGCCATTTTCGATTCCGGAAACATCCGAACCTTCCCAACCGGCCTACAATTAGCATCTCCCAATGATATTTTTATTGAGACGGGAGACATTATTGTAGGACCAAACTCGGCGTTTTCCGGATTAATGATCAACGTCATCAACCCAAATATGGTCATAGTTCGCTAATGCATGGCTTGCTAATGCAAGGCTCGATAATGCAAGTGTCGTTAATACAACTGTTGAAACTACAAATGTTGAAATTACATATCTTGAAAATACAAATGTTGAAATTACATATCTTGAAACTATAAAGTTAAGCTGTGTTATTTCAAA